TATAAGATGTCTAAAGACGCCTTAAAAACGTCTCTCAGACATCGAAATATAAGATGTCCACAACCTTGCTTTAATTCTTAAGCCGTAAGGAATTGACCAACCACAGGTAATTATTTTTAAAATAATCGACTGTCGTTGGTCAATTTATTACGGTTTAAAGATTAAAGCAAGGTTGTAGACAAGGGGTAAAATGTCTGTAAGACGTCTGTAAGACGTTTTATGTCCTGATCTTAACTGTTGTGTTGTGTGGAACAAGTTCTTTCATTGTACAGATTATTGGCCATGTGGTAAAATGTATCGGAGAAAATGAGTTCATACTATATTAAATCAAAGTATACATGTACTAGTATAATAATTACACTGAATGTTTTTCCTTGCTTTCTCTTTTAATGTATAATAAAAATTGTATGTACCATAACTCAATCATTACACTACCTATGCTGTTGTAACTTTACAATTTCCCACACAGTCATGACCAAACGCGTCATGACCATTATGTAGCTAGTAGCGGCTAACGTGTTAATTCTACCTATATATTATGAACGTTTAAAAGACGTCTTACAGACGTCTGAACGATACTCTATTTATTGTAGACATTTTTATCATGTCTCTAACTTGTGTTAGATATTTGTGTTGTTTGGATATTTCTTTTACGGTTAAAAAAAAATTATATATGTATGTGTATTGACAACACAGCTGCCTCAAGTCATAATATATTTTTTTTCGTAGTAATTATTTAATTATATAAAAATGTTTATATAAATATTGATAGTCGCATATTTATCTCCGTATATTTATCAAGGAGACATTCTTTCTTTATTTTTCAAGCAAAGATACTTCCTGCGAATGAGTAAGAAATTGTTTAACATATGTATGTTTTTTAATAACAATTATAATATAATTTCGAAAACGTCCGTATATGAGTGATAGTTATTTCACTATATTTCTAATAAAATTGGAGCAATACCATTATATGTATCATATCTGCCATATTGTTTTGCTCCACTAACGAATACTTTTAGTTTGCTGTAGTGGCAGTTACAATTTATCTTGTCAACAACTTTTCTGTTATATACAAACATACTTGTATCAGTTATTAGTGCCCCTTCTCCTTACCTTATCTTTATCGTCTAAACATCTATATATAATTCACATATATGTTTCTGTTATATTCTGTAAGTTGTCGAGCTCCGCGCGTTATATCGAAGTAATTATTACAAATGAAATACTTATAAACGTTAATTACTAGGAAATATCGCGATGAGTATAGATAAAATAATAACTTTTGATGGACCATACACAGAAGACAAATATAATCAGTTCTTCAATCCAAACATTTGTCATGTTTGCAAACTGCCCAGCACACATTTGATAACATGTAATCAGTGTTGTATGATTTCTTATTGTTCCAAGAAGCATGAGAAGATACATGAAGACTCACACCTGGAACTCTGCAGAGACCTAGCAAACATGATAACAGACAAATCGGAATGGAACACATGTCGTAATTGGAAAGAATTGAGAGAAATACGGAAGAAAATTTTAATAAATATAAATCTGACAGGCATACATCCGTACGTAATAGATGTGGTATTATGCGCAAAATCGTGTTTTAAGTGTCATCGACAGATAAACATAAAACCCTGCGTCATATGTTATTCAGCTAATTTTTGTGATGATCACCAAATGCTATTTAATCTAGAACATAAGGATCACTGCAAAGAGCTGTTATTATTACTAAACATTAATATCGCCTGTTTGAATAGCAATATCTTACATTTATGTTTAGACAAACTCATGTTCACCACGTTTCCTGATGCTAGACCTTATCATAACATGATTACATTTATTAACAGATATTTAGTCATGGAAGATTTAGATAATAATCAAAAAAAACTTTCCTCCCCTATCCGATCTTTTTGGTCATTAGAACATTATATATGTTCGGATTATGTATCCGGTCCTCTGACATTACATTACGCGTTACAGGAATCAAACTTATTATTTCTTCCATATAATGCTTGTAAATTTATCGTTCATATTATAGATTCAAATATAACAGATGTAATATCTTTACAAGTTTGGCATATTTTCTTACATATTTTTCCAAATATAAAGGAACTGTATATAATATTTTTAAAACCGCAACTATGCGAATCCTACGAGCTAGGAACTGCTTGTTCTAGGTGCGAAAAATATAATCAGAAACTTTATGTTGAAAATATATCAGAAACATACCACAATTATGCGCGCTTAAGGTCATATAAACAACCAAATGTGATCATGATACTTGACACAAATATGTACTTGATAAGAACATGGTTTGAATCTATAACAACAATAGCAGTTCAAAAATGTCCGTTACTTTTAATTTTTAATGATGAAATTACAATGGATTGCAATATAAAAAAGATACAAAAAGTAATAGATACAACAAGAAATCGACTGTACAGAAAAAATAAATTCTGCGGTTGTAGGCCCTATAGAAACCATGTGACTGGTGGATTGTGTTACCGAAATGCGCATTTCGTTATTTATTCATGAATTTAAATCACATAACTAAACTAATCAAAGACTAAAGATCAGGAATTGTTTGATCATTGCTTTTATTTTAGAATAGTATGTTATTGTAGATGCCTGTGTCAATTTTTAACGATATTCAGGGATAAATAGTACATTTCCACTGAGGTATATATTCAGTTGCAATCTAATAGCATTTTATTTCTTATTTTCCTGAAATGTGTAAAACATTATTTAAATTGGCATTATTAATATTTTTATTATTATTATTATATATTATTATTATTTATTATTTATTGTTATTATTATTTTACATGAGATAATGGAACGATTGCACATAGAATTTTAAATATTACATTTCGCATATCATTCGCAAACTATTCAATAGCTATAGATATTAAATTCCACAATTCTGTACTCAGCGGTATGTAAATATTTTGTAAGTCCCTTCTTCATTGTCCATGTTCTGCAAGTGATAGGTGATAGAAATAATTACCCTATTTTTTATACAGATTATATTTTTATGTTCTTCATATTGTAACTTATAACCAATATCTGTATCTCTTGTTACATCGATTTTTGCAAATTAAATTATGAAAATTTGTCAAGAAGTATAAAAGTATCTAAAACTATTAGTGTCTTATGAAGATTATCACCTAATTATTGTAAAATAAATACAGGTGTAATCATAGTCGTTAATAAAATATGGATTTTAATCATATACAATTATTCGTAAATATATCTTACGATTGTGTCTTCTGTTTTTGTAAAAATATAGCATATGTACACTTTGTTTCAATATATTTTGAACATTTTTCCGATGCATTCCTGAATGTAGCTAATGATCGAATAAATGATAGAATTTAACTTCATGCGATCACTTAAAGATCAGTCCTTTTGTTGTGTTGACTATCGAGTAAAATGTATCGAAGGAAAATAGTTCATACTGTGAAACAAAGTTATATATGATTTTATAAAATTATCCGTTATATATTGCCTACTCTTGCATTAGTTTCCACGATTAGCAGTAAGTATAGCATAAAACATTTTCCTGAGCACGTCATAAGGATACACATCATGAGCATAATAATAAAACAAGCCATAATGAAAAAAAATATATTTTAATATTTATTTGTAGGAGAAAAAGTATATTCTGAAGCATAAGTGTATTGAAATAAATATTATTTTGCAGAAAAAACTTTGTAACCCATAAAAATACATTCAAGTATATGTTCTCAGTTCCTCTGTTAACTAGCCCGAACTAATTGGCATCACAAATTTGTATATGATTGTCGCAGTTAAATAACATGGATTGTAGTTAAATAACATGTCCTTAAAAAAAATGGTTGATTACCAAATGATATCCGCTTTTAACATATCGTTAATGTTCTCCAAGTTGAAATTTTTGCACGTAAGAACTTTTTTATATACAATTATATATAACTATATAAAATCAAATGGCAGCATATAAAATTATGTATATTAGTTACATTAATTATACATAATTTTACACGACTTTGTTCATAATTTTGTATGAGGCTTCCTAATGCTGCTTATATATAAGTATGTATATAATCCCTTATTAAATATAATTGTATATAAATATACCAAATTTATATATAAATATATACAATATAACATTTAATATTCCTCAATTGACTTTGGTTTGTGTGTATATATTTTATTAAAATAATATTTGTATATAACTTTATCACATGTTTAAATAAAAGCTCTGTTATGTCGTTACAAATATCCATGTTGTTCGATAATGAACCGTTAATATTTAAAACAGATTAAAATAAGTTAATATTTAAAATAATATCCCAAAAACTTTTTGAAGTTTTGATTATTGAGTAAGTTGTTTTAAACCGTTTCCTGTTCAGATTAATCATAATATTTCGATGAAAATTGAGAAGCAATTGTGTAATCATTAATATTTACTATATCAACATTTATAGCATACCTAATGTTAATCAATTATTTCAATGTTTGCGAATAAATAAATTATAATATTCTGTAACATATAATATACTATAAGGACATATTATGTAAGTCCTAGGAACACATAGTTAGAGTCATTTAGATCACCATCTGTCTCTTCATTTTCAACGTTAAGGAACCCTTACCGTAGTCAGATCATGGAAAATTGATGGCTTCGGATAAAAAGAAACTTTTATTTAATAAATTAATTTATTTAAAGTGATCATTAGAGTACATTACCAAAATACTACAAGTTTTTACTGTAAATTATCACAAATTTATTAAAGTATCTTTCTTAATAACTTTTGTAGTATATTTCCAGTCTTTCAACAAGATTTTCATCAGGAATATCATACTGTTTCCCAACACTACGAATATTTTTAGTTCGTCATATCGATATTCACAATTTATTTTGTAAACAACTTTTTTGATATAAACATATTTGTATCCGTTATTAGCGTCCCGTCTACCGTTATTGTTTAAATATATATATATATCGAATCCGTATAAATATTTCCATGACAATCCGTAAGTTGTTTTGCGTGAGTCGAGTTTAGCGCATTATTTTGAAGAAAATATTACAAACAGAATTCATATAAATGATAATCAATAAGACTTAGAGTGATGAATAACGGAAAAGTAATAGATTTTATCGCACCATTCACAGAACACAAATATAATCAATTTTTCAATCCAAACGTTTGTCATGTTTGCAAACGTCCCAGCGGAGATTTGATAACATGTAATCTTTGCAATATAATTTTTTATTGTTCCAAGGAGCATAAGGAGATGCACATAAACTCACACAAGGAAATCTGCATAGCTATGGCAAGGGTAACAACAGAAAAATCTTTTTCAAATACGTATTCTAGCTTAGAACAGTGGGTAGCATCACGGGACGACATTTTAGAAAGAATATTGCCTAGTATGTCACGTGACGTATATCAGTACGAAAAGGAAATGATATTATGTGCAAAGTCGTGTTATGTGTGTTACCGACAGATAAACATAAGTCCTTGCGACACTTGCTACTCAGCTAATTTTTGTGATAATCACCAATTAGAATTTATTAATATACATCAGAAGGACTGCGACGAGCTGTTGCTATTACTGAACATGAATATAGCCGATATTAGCTACGACATAGAAAAGTTTCTGCTTTACAAAAGAAGGAAGTTCACCAAATTTCCTATACAGGCAAATTTTCATGATACTATTACATTTATTAATGGTTATGTACTCAACAACAATAAACTTATTTGTCGTAAGATGATGGAAGCTCCTAATTCAACTCTTACATGGGCAAAAGAGCAATATGTATATTCTGAGGCTGTATCCGATCCGCTGACATTATACTACGCGTTGGGGGAATCAAATTTATTATCTTTATTATTATCTGTCCCACTCAAGGAACGTAAATACATTGTTCATCTTATAGACGCAAATAATATAAATGAAATATCTTGGAAAATTTGGCATATTTTCTTACATTACTTTGTGAGAACGATAAAGGATTTGTATATTGTATACATAAAATCGCCAACATATAAATCGCACGATCTAGGATCTGTGTGTTCCACGTGCCAAGAAAAACATCTGAAAATTTATGTTAAAAATGTACCAGAAACGTACTACACGTATGTACGCTCAGAGTCATATGAACCACCAAATGTGATTATACTTCAAACACGAACTATTTCCAAGGGAACATGGCTTGGATCTGTAACAGCAATTATAGCCCAAAAGTGTCCATTACTTTTAACCGCTGACACGAAAAAGACAGCGCAAGAAAATATAAATATAATAGAAGATATAACAGGTGTAACTAGAAAATGCTTGTACAAAGAAAATAAATTCCGCGGATGTAGGCCATATAAAAACTATGTAACTGGAAGATGTTATTACCGAAATGCGCATTTTATTATGTATTCATAAATTTAAATCACATGACCGAACCAGTCAAAGGTTGAAGGTAATATAGTGTTAAATTCTATCTTCATTTTGATATAGTTAATGATACTCAATTTTTAATAATATTCGAGAATATATAAGAAATTTTTTACTGGGGTATATTTTCAAGCGTAAACAGTATTTCGTTTATCATCTTTTCAAAATATATAATAGCATTATTGTCTTACTATTATTGTCTATTGTTATTGATTACTGTCTATACATCTATATATAACTCGCATACAAGTTTCTGTTATATTCTGTGAGTTGACAAACTTCGCGCGTTATATCGAAATAAATATTACAAATAAAATATACATTAACAGTCATTATTAAGATATGTCGCGACGAGAATATAGACGAAAGAATAACTCTTGATGGATCATACACAGAAAACAAATATAATCAATTTTTTAATCCATACGTTTGTCATGTTTGCAGAAGATTCATAACTTTGTAATCAATGTGCTGTAAGATTTCTTATTATTCCACGAAGCATGAGAAGATACATGAAGACCCCTGGATTTCTGCAGAGACATAGCCAGTATCATAATAGACAAATCCGATTGGAACACATATCGTAATTTGGAAGAATAGAGAGAAATACGGAAGGAAATTTTAATAAATAACTGTCAGGCATGCATCTGTACGTAATAGATGTGGTATTATGCGAAAAATCGTGTTATAAGTGTCACCGACGGATAAACATAAAACCATGCGTCATTCGTTATTCATCTAATTTTTGTGATAATAACCAAATGCTATTTAATCTAGAACATAAGGATCACTGCAAAGAGCTGTTACAATTACTGAGAATTAATATCGTCTATATGAATAGCAATATCTTGCAATTATGTCTAAACAAACTCACGTTTACCACATTTCCTGGTACTAGACCTTATCATAACATGATTACATTTATTAACAGAAATTTAGTAATGGAATATCTAGATAATAACAAAAAAGAATTTTATATCCTTATCAAAACTTTCTGGTCATTACAACATTATATATGTGACAGTAATACCTAACATAAATATGTGCTTGATAAGAACATGACAAAACTGTAACAAGAATAGAAGTACAAATTCATTGTCCATTTACTTTTAATCTTTCAACATTTAATGATGAAATTACAATGGATTCCAATACACAAAATATACAAGAAGTAACAAGTACAACAAGAAATAGATTTTACAGAAAAAATAAATTCTGCAGTTGTGGGCCATATAAAAGCCATGTGACTAGTGAATTTACCGAAATGAGAATTTAATTATTTATTCATGCATTTACATAACCGACCTAATTAAAGGCTGAAAGTCATTAGTTGCTTGATCATTGCTTTAATTTAGTATAGCATATTGTATAGTATTTTTGTATAGTATAATAGAGTATAATATTGTTCATTTTAGTATAATAATGTTATAGACGCACCTGTCTATTCTTAACGACATTCAGATAAATAATACATATCTTCCTAAGCTATATATTTAGTCGTAAATTAATAGTATTTTTTCTTACATTCCTGAAATATGTAAAACATATTTACGTGAGGTAATAAAATGATTGCACATCGTACCTAAAATTTTATATTTCGCATAATATTCGCATACAATTCACTAGTTATAGATATATTCCGCAATTCTGTACTCAGCTATATGTAACTGTTTTGTAAGTCCCTTTTTAATCGTCCGTGTTCTGTATGTGATAGGTGATAGAAATAATTGCGATATATTTTATGCAAACTACATTCTTATGTTCTTCATATTATAGTTTATAACTAAAATCTGTAGCTCGTCACATCGACTTTAACAATTTAAATTATGGAAATTTGTCGAGACGTATAGAAATATTTGAAACTATTTGTGTCTTAAAGGTTATCACCGATTATTGTAAAATTAATAAAAGTTTAATCATAATTGCTAATACAATATGGATTTTTTGTTAGTATACATTCATTAGTAAATATATATTACAATTCTCTCTCTTTTTGTAAATGTGTAGCATATCTACTTTATTTCAATAAGTTTTCAACAATTTTCCGATGCATTCCTGAATATAGCTAATTATCTAATAAATGATAGAACTTAACTTCATGCAATCACTTAAAAATCAGTTCTTTCGTTGCGTTGGCTATCGAGTAAAATGTATCGGAGAAAAATTGTTCATACTGTATTGAAACGAAGTGTATATATGATTCGATAGTATTATCCGTTTTATATTGCCTACTGTTGCATTAGTTTATACGATTAGCAGTAAGTACAGCATAAGATAATTTTCTGGGCGCATTACAAAGTTTCATTATAAACATAATGCTACAACTAGTCACGCTGAGAGTAATATATTTTAATTCTTATATGTGGGACCCACAATGTATTGTGATATGTAGATGTACAGAAATAAACATGATTTCACGGAACTAAATTTTATATCCCATAAATATATTTTCATGTATTTGTACTCAGTACGTCTGTCAACTAGTCATAGCTAATTTGCATCACTAATTTGTATATGATTGTCACAGTTAAATAACCTGGACTGCAGTCATTAAAAAGAATGGTTGATTTTAGAATGACGGGACTACACCTATTACGAGGTACAAAATTCATTTTTAACATATCGTTAATATTCTCCAAAACAAAATTTTTGTACGTACAAATTTTTTTATACATAATTACGTTTAACTATGTAAAATCAAATAGCAGCATACAAATTTATGTATAATAATACATGATTATATATAATTTTACACAACTTTATTTATAACTTTGTGTGATGCTACCTAATGCTGTTTTTATAAATAGTTATATTTATAATCCCTCATTAAATATAATTATATATAAATATACCTAATTTTTACATAAATATATGATATAACAGTTAATATTCCTCAATTGACTTGCGTATGTCTTATATTAAAATAAAATATTTGTATATAACTTAAACACACTTGTTAAATAAAAGCTCTGTTACGTCCTTAAAATATATATATATATATATATATATATATTATTCGATAATGAAGCGTTAATATTTAAAACAGATTAAAACAGAATATTTAAAATAATATTCCGCAAGTTTTTAGAAGTTTTGATTATTGAGTAGGTTGTTTTAAACCGTTTGCTTCAGATTAATCATAATAATATTTCGTTGAAAATTGAGAAACAATAGTGTAATCACTAATGCACTAATATTTATTATACCAACATTCGTTGCATACCTAATGTTGATCCATCATTTCAATATTTGCGAATAAAATAATATTATAATATTCTGTAACATATAATATACTATAAAAATACAATATGTAAGTCTTTGGAACACATAGTTAGAGCCATTTACGTCACCGTCTGTCGCTTCATTATCAACGTTAAGGAACCATTACCGTTATTACAATATGTAAAACTGATAGCTTCAGATAAAAAGAAATTTTTATTTAATTTATTTAAAGTGATTATTATTGTACATTACCAAGATACTACAAGTTTTCGCTGGAAATTATTACAAATTTACTAAAGTATCTTTCTTGATAACTTTGCAGTATATATTCAGTCTTTCAGCAAGATTTTCATAAGGAATGTATCATATCGTTTCTCTACACTAACGAATATTTCTAGTTCGTTCTATCGATATTTGCAATTTACTTTGTCAACAACTTTTTCAATATAAACATATTATATCCGTTATTAGAGTCCCGCGTATCATTATAGTTTAAATATCTATATCGAATCCGTATAAATGTTTCCATGACAAGCCGTGATTTGCCGCGTTTTGCGAATTATTTTGAATCCAATATTACAAACACAATTCACAAATGATAATCAATAATACATAGAACGATGAATGACGGAAAAGTAATAGGTTTTATTGAACTGCTCACTAAACAAAAATATAATCAATTTTTTAATCCAAACGTTTGTCATGTTTGCAAACTTTCCAGCGGAGACTTGATAACGTATAATTTCTGCAATATGATTTCTTACTGTTCCGAGTAGCATAAGGAGATGCATAGAAACTCACACTCGGAAATCTGCATAGCTGTGGCAAGGATAACAACAGACAAATATTTCTCGGATACGTATCCTAGCTTGGAACATTGGATAGCATCACGAGACGACATTTTACAACGAATACTGCCTAGTCTGTCGCGTTACGTATGCCAGTACGAAAAGGAGATGATATTATGTGCAAAGTCGTGTTATGTGTGTTACCGACAGATAAACAGAAGTCTTTGCAATATTTGCTATTCAGCCAATTTTTGTGATGATCACCAAGTGGAATTTAGTTATTACATGGGTAGGACTGCGGTGAGTTGTTACTATTACTGAACACGAATATAGCCGATATTATCCGCGACATGCAGGAGTTTATGATTCATAAAGGAAGAAAGTTTTCCTAAAAAGATATATTTTCAGGACAATATTACATTTATTAATGGCTATGTACACAGAAATGATCGACATACTCGTCCTAAGATGTTAGACGATCATAATTCAACTCTTGCCTGGACATTAGACCAATATGTATATTCTGAGGTTGCATCCGAATCGCTGACATTATACTACGCGTCAAATTTATTATCTGTTACACTCAATGCACGTAAATACATTGTTCAACTTATAGACGCAAATAGAATAGATGTAGTATCTTTACAAATTTGGCATATTTTCTTAGGTTACTTTACGATAAAGGAATTGCATATTGTACTTATACAGTCGCCAATATTCAAATCGCGCGATCTATGTTCTGTTTGTAGTACGTGCCATAGTAATAATGCGTCACTTGATATTCAGCTAATTTTTAGGTGATCTCCAAATGCTATGTAATCTAGAACATAACGATCACTACAAAGAACTGTTACTATTATTAAACGTTAAATTCGTCTGTATGTGTAGCAATAATTTGCAACTATATCTAAACAAACTCATGTTAACCACATTTCGTGATGCTAGACATTAACATAACATGACTACATTTATTAACAGATATTTAATAATGGAAGAACTAGATAATATCAAAAAAAGAATTTTCTTATCCAACCTTGATGGTCAAACATTATATATCTGATAGTAATACCTGACATAAATATGTGCTTGATAAGAACATTGTTTGAAACTGTAACAACCATAGTAGTACAAATTCATTGTGCATTTACTTTTAATCTTTCAACCTTGGATTGCAATACGCAAAATAGACAAGAAGTAACAGGTACAAGAAGAAATCGATCGTATAGAAAAAATAAATTCTGCAGTTGGCCATATAGAAGCCATGTGACTAGTGGATATACTGAAATACTGAATTTCTCTATGATTATCGCAATTAAATAACGTGGACCGTAGTCCTGAAAAAGAATGGTTGATTACCAAAAGATGTCCGCTTTTAGCATATCGTTAAAGTTGTGCAAATCGAAATTTTTACTCGTAAAAAGTTGTTTATATACAATCATATATAACTATATAAAATCAAATGGCAGCACATTAAATTATGTATAATTAGTTACATTAATTATACGTAATTTTGCATGACTTTGTTCATAATTTTGTATGAGGCTGCCTAATGCTACTTATGTATAATTATGTATATAATCGCTTATTAAATATAATTATATATAAATGTACCTAATTTATATATGAATATATACGATTATACAGCAGTTAATATTCCTCGATTGACTTTGGTATGTGAGTGTCTTTTATTAAAAATTATATTTGTATAACTTAATCACTTATTTAAATAAAACTCTGTTATGCCGTTAAAATGTATCCATGTTTTTCGATAAAAAAGCATTAATATTTAAAACAGGATAAAACAGATTAATATTTAAAATAATATTTCAAAATCTTTTTGAAGTTTTGATTATTGAGTAAGTTGTTTTAAACTGTTTCTTGTTCAGATTAATCATAATAATATTTCGTTAAAAGTTGAGAAGCAGTGGTGTAATCACTGATGCATTAATATTTATTATATCAATATTTGTCGCATATCTGATGTTGATCCACCATTTCAATGTTTGTGAATAAATATATTATGTTACAATATTCTGTAACATATAATATACTATGTTACGATACACTATGCAAGTCTTAAAAATACATAATTAGATCCATTTAGACAACCGTCTGTCGCTTCATTTTCAACGTTAAGTAATCCCTACCGTTGACAAAACAATAGAAAACTGAAGGCTTCGGATAAAAAGAAATTTTTATTTAATGGATTAATTCATTTAAAATGATCGTTAAAGAATATTACAAAAATATTACTAGTTTATATAATATTATTAATTTCTGCTGGAAATTATCACAAATTTATTAATATCTTTCTTGATAAATTTTATAGTATATTTTCAATCTTTCAACAAGATTTTCATAAGGAATGTATCATATTGTTTCCCTACACTAACGAATATCACTATTTCGTGTTTATTTACAATATATTGTCAACAACTTTTTCGATATAAACATATTGTATCCGTTATTAATGTCCCGTGTACTATTATTGTTTAAATGTCTATATCTAATCCATATAAATATTTCCATGACACTAGGTGAGTTGTCCAGGTTCGCGCATTACTCTGAAGTAAATATCACAAACAGTATTCATATAAATAATAATTAATAATACTTATAACGATGAACAACAGAAAAGTAATAATTTTTGCTGGGCCATACACAGAAGACAAATACAACCAATTTTTCAATCCAAACGTTTGTCATGTTTGCAAAAATCCCAGCAGATACTTGATAACGTGTAATCTCTGTAATTTGATATCTTACTGTTCAGAGGAGCATAAGGAGATACACAGAATCTTGCACTCGGAATTCTGCATAGCTGTGGCAAGGATAATAACAGAAAAATCTTTCTCGGATACGTATCCTAGCTTGGAACATTGGATAGCATCACGGGACGATATTTTACAACGAATACAGCTTAGTTTGTCACGTTACGTATACCAATACGAAAAGGAGATGATATTATGTGCAAAGATGTGTTATGTATGTTATCGACAGATAAACATAAGTCCTTGCAACACTTGCTATTCAGCCAATTTTTGTAATGATCACCAAATAGAATGTAATGTATTGGATAGACATGGGAAGGAGTGCGGTGAGATGTTGGTATTACTGAACATGAATATAGGCAATATGACCAGCGACATAATAGAGACTAGCATTAATGAAAATAGGAAAT